TGGCAAGCACTTATGGGTAATATGTGGAAAGACAAAAAAATAGCTAAGGATCTATGCCAACTAGCTAGCTTGGGGTTGCCTTCTTGAATCTCCAGACGAAGGGTTGTTGTGCAAAATGCGGCAGAATCCTCATTAGTAATGGAAGTGAAAGAGAAGCAGTACACTGATCCTATTCTATTACAACATAAGGAGAATTTATAACATGGTATGACAAAGGCATTTGAGCTTACACAAGAGGGAGTACTTTGGTGTCAAACCAGATTGTGTGTACCTAATGTTAGATGAATTAAGAAAGAGGATTATGATGGAAGCACATCATTCAAAATATTATGTCCATCCAGGGTCAACTAAAATGTATCATGACTTGAAATAAATGTATTGGTGGGGTGACATGAAGAATAACATTGCAGAATTTATGGCTCACTGTCCAAATTATCAACAAGCAAAAGTAGAGCACCAAAATCCCGGAGGTTATATGCAGTGTATAGAACTTCCAATTTGGAAGTGGGACATAATCAACATGGATTTTGTCACTGGCTTGCCTCGCTCATTTCGGAAGTTTGATTCCACATGGGTAATAGTTGACAGACTCACCAAATCAGCACACTTCTTGCCGGTGAAGACTACCTATACAGCCGAAGTGTATGCAAGGTTGTATATTAAAGAAATAGTTTGACTACATGGAGTGCCAATCTCTATAATATCTGATAGAGGAGCTCAATGCTACAAATTTTTGGAAGTCATTTCAGAAGAGTTTGGGAACACAAGTGAATTTAAGTACAACCTTTTACCCTCAAATGGATGGTCAGGCAGAATGTACAATTCAAACACTTGAGGATATGTTGCGAGCTTGTATATTAGACGTCAAGGGTAGCTGGGATGATCATCTACCACTTATTGAATTCGCTTATAACAATAGCTACCATTCTAGTATCCAATGGCACCTTATGAAGCTTTATATGGGAGGAAGTGTAGATCCCCAATTGGTTGGTTCGAAACAGGTGAAACTGTCTTATTTGGGACAGATCTTGTTCATCAAGCTATGGAAAAAGTCAAATTAATACAACATCGACTAGAAACAACTCAAAGTTGACATGAATCATATGCGGATGTTAGAAGGAGAGAACTAGAATTTTCTATGGGGGATTGGGTGTTCTTGAAGGTGTCTCCAATGAAAGGGGTAATGAGGTTTGGTAAAAAAGGAAAGTTGAGTCCCCATTATATAGGGCCATATAAGATTATTCGAAGAGTTGGCCAAGTAGCCTATGAGTTTGAGCTACCACAAGAGCTTTCATCAGTTCATTCCGGTGTTTCATGTCTCGATGCTTCGGAAGTGTATAGGTGACCCATCGCGTATTACTCCTACTGAAGATGTACAAGTTACTGGAGATCATTGTTATTTTGGATCGACAAGTTAAGAGTTTAAGGAATAAAGAGGTAGCTTCTGTAAAAGTACTATGGAGGAACCAACAAATAGAATTAGTTACATGGGAAGCGGAAGAGGCAATGAAATTGAAGTATCCTCATCTCTTTCAGATCGATGAGAAGGATGAAAATTCTTAGTTGAGGCATTGACAAGTAAGTATAAGTCTATATGTATTATGTGATTAATAGTAGTACTAACTTAGGCTTGAACTTGTTTGGGCTGGATAGCCATGCTAACATTCGAGGACGAATGGCTAAAGGGGGGAATGATGTAACAACCCATATTATGAATATGCTCGTTCTGTTCTTGTGATACTTGACATAGACTTATAGTATAGGTGAGGGACCATGTTTCTTATATGATTAGTGTTGGTTTAAACTATCTCAGAAGGTGATGTGATGCCTTGCACATTTCAGCATGTGTACTGCAAGTTTACTCCAACGGAAGTATTTAAACTCGAGACAGTATGGTGGTAATTGAGCTTAAAGTTGAAAGTTAAGTGCTAAGTTAAAGAAAAATGGATTAATATTTAGAAAATGAAATAAAATAAGTGAG